TATTCAAATGTATTTATTTTCGAGCGCGACAGAGAGAGAGAGAGAGAGAGCAAAGATCCGTGCGTTCCCTCTACACAAAGGTAATCTGTCTTTTGGTGGTGTGCTATAAAGCTCTAGAATATCAAGAATAGTACAGTCATGTTCTATTTCTTTCGTCCGAGCAGCGTGCGACAATCGTGTGTGTGTGTGTATTGAGCACGTGTGTAAGGTATGTTGACAAAAAATGGAGGAAAAGAAAATAGAGGCGCCTCTGCTGTTGTATACATCGTCCGACACTCGGGAATGCGGTTAAAAGACGGAAGCGCGGTACGGTACGGTGGTGCTCAAATATAGCTGTGTAGATGTATTGGTTGGTACCCTTACATACTGCGGCCGACTGCGGCCGACTGCAGCAACAGCAGTATTCGCTATGCGCATCTACGGTGCTGCCCTCCTCATTGTCATTAATTTTTTGTGTTAAATCTTATAGAGCAAAATAGTTAAAGCGGCCGCCGTCGACAAAAGTTCTTTACATTCTCATGAGAATATGTGTTAAAGTCGAGGTTAAAGTGACAAGTAGCGCCAAATGACAGGCGCATAGCGAATAGTCGTGCGTGGAAAACTCGTAGCGAGTAGGTAATACTTGTTTGATCGAGCGATCAATGTCACAGAACCTTCAACATAAAGATTATGTGTGGTTTGATTTTATAAAAAAATTAAAAAATGAAAGACCATGATATTACTTACCAACAGATTTAGGGACAAATACTTTTTTTCCAAATTTTTCAAATTTTAATGCACTCCTTTTCCTACAAAAATTTTGGTTTTAGCGTTACGCTATAAGTGCTACTAAAAAAAAATAATTTTATTTAATATAATTCATTACATTATTAACAATAAAATCATACTGCCAACAAATTGAATAAGTCCGTGCTCGAGTCTATAACATAAGTCACGTGTATAAACTACACTAAAAATATAAATATGATGAGTACACTACAGACTTACGTTGAGAAAGCTGACTATTTTTTGCTATCTTAAAAAGGAAATATTCGTTGTGTGATTGGTTCCAGCTAAGATCACGTGGTTATGATTCGGATAACACCCATCGCTTAGTTCCCTATCGAAGAAAACAATTAGTACAAATATCACATGGAAAATCTTTTTGATCGGTCATGTAAATTATCAAAAAGTAATGTAAAAATATTATTATTATTATTATTATTATTATTAGGTTGATAAAAATGACAGAGATAAAGTGCATTAGAATAGTTTAGGAGTGGGATATTATGACGCCAAAAAGTCATTAAATTCATACGTATGATTTTATGACTTTCTGATTTCATTGGCCTCCCACTCCTGAACTGCTACATTATGCTCTCTCTCCGTCATTTTTTGTTTACGTGAAAAAAACGAGGAAAAAAGGTGCTTCATATTTTTTTGATGATCTACGTGACGGACAAAATAGATTTTTTCATGAAAAATCAGGATTAAAAAATTATAAATCGAATCACTAGAAACGAAATGACGTGCGAGTCTATACTGAACGCAAAGAAGTAACTAGGTGTATTATGTATAAAATGCAACACTCACGTATCCAGGCAGATTTTGAAAACTGGCTGCAGTCACAGTTACACTGTGAAAAAATGTTTGAGGAGAAAATGTGAATCATGGCTTGCATGATGAAAAGAAAATACCGTGCAAGAAGACTGAAAGTAAAAACTCATGGTCAAAGGCTAAACTGAGAGGTCGCACGGAACCTCCACTTGTATGGATGACACATGAGTTAAGGTAGCTCATCACAAAATCAAAATACTTTAAGTATGAATAAAACTTGCAAGAATGACACTTTAATATTAACTGAATCATCTCACAAAATTTCAAACCACGTATCCAGGCAATTTTTTCAATACAAATTACTTGAAAAATGTATGTTTAACGTGATCTCTTACAAGAGGCTATTCAATCTTGTCACATTTGATACAATATCTCATAAATTATACTTAAAAAAAATAGGTACTAAAAAAAGAAATCACGAGCTTATGACATCAAGAAAATGTAGATTCTCCGGGAAATATTGTACAATATTTTATCGATTAGATTATTGTTTATAAAAAGATACAGGTTACTTGAACTTTGGCAACTTTTTCTACCGATGTTTTTAGGCGTGGTAGTCTGATGTCACGTAAAAAGGTAGAACAGGTGTGATGAGCCACCTTAACGCAAATTAGTAATAAAAACGTATGTTAACAAATTTATTGCACAACCTTTGCGCCACATCTTTTTATTTAACCCTCACGCACTTTGTTCGATTGAAACTTGTTCGATTGATAATGTAATATACACATAACCACTTCCTCCTACTTTTTATCCATTTCAAAAGATAGCCTATCAACTCGCCCGTAATGATCTTAGAGCACAATGAATACGTCGTTTCGCGATTCTTCAATTATTTTTAGAAATTTGTGCGACTTCTCCTTGGTACACATACCCAAGAATATCATCGTTATCATTTATTCATATAGACGTTTGCCTATCGCTTGCGTGCACGTGATGCTGCACCTGCACTGTTGATAATTGTCAAACTGAGCATGTCCTCTTTCTTCAAAAGCTGCAAGTGCAACAAAACTTCTGCATAAAATATGCAAAAGACAATATCTGCTGTTGTTGTCATCGTTCGATTTCCTATATATGTATACATCTCGTCGTCGCTAAACATTGAGTCACCGGCACGAATCCGCAGTCGACGCTGGCGGATTATTGCATATCTCTATAGACTCCCTCCGCTTGTTCCTATTGTGTAGCTGCTTGATTTTATTCTCTTTCTTACATTGTCGCATCAACATCGAGATGTGGTCACTGCTGCTGTATGCTGTATGTAGTACAAAGAAAGTGAGGAAAAAAAAAATATATATACTGGGCATATCTGAGAGATGGGCAACAGCAGAGTAGTTGGACCGATGCCCCCACTCAGCTAAAGGGACAAGGGTGACCAGCACCTCGGCCAACACAGCACGGCTCTCGGGCAATTTTAAGACTCTCACCTTCCGCTGTTGCCGTGCACACTCATGTATATAAGCGCGAGGTGTGCTGCTGCAGCATTCCCTTCCTCCTCTTTCGCAATAAATTTTTTTTTTTATTATCCTCGTACACTTGCATACGTGGTCACACATTTACAAACTGTATGATGTGTAAAAATAGGTATACTATAGTATCCGATACATGCTCACATTTCTGCACCCATATCAATGGTGCATTTCGCCAGTGATAGAAAAAAAATCGTACATTAAGTCACTAGGGCACAAAGTACAAACATGAGCACCCGAAGGGCGCGATTGTTGTAAGTATGTTGGTGCCCGAGACGCGTATAATGTTTTTCTTATCGAGGGCGCAAAGTGCAATTTTGCGCCCAGTAAATCACTTTGGGCCCTAGAGCAGAAAAGTAACGCAAAAAACTTTTCTGCCCGTGGACCCAAAATGATTTCAAGAGCGCAAAGTATGGCCCGAGGGCTCAAAGCGGCAGTTGCACTTTGGGCCCATGGTAAGAATTAGTAGTTTTCGTCGGATAAGTGCCATCGTCTCCGGAGCTATTTTACGGCCCAAAGGAGCTGCAAAGCAGGGCCTGAGGGACGTAAGGTAGCCACCGAGCGATAGCGCTTATGTGGGGAATGCTATTTTTCCTACCGAGGGCACACCAGCCTCTCAAAAACGCCCAAGGTAGGAAATGGTAGTTTTCCTACGAGTTTGAAAAGTCTCTGTTTGCGAACTGAGAGGTTTGCGGCCCGAGCCGAAGGCGAGGGACGTAACGAGGTTCGTAAAGGAGACTTTTCGAACGAGTTCTGGAAAACTGCTTTTTCGCCCGAGGAAGTACCAGTCTCCCAAAACCACGCGAGGGCGGAAAAGTACTATTTCCGCCCTCGGGTGGTTTTGGGAGGCTGGTACTTCCTCGGGCGAAAAAGCAGTTTTCCAGAACTCGTTCGAAAAGTCTCCTTTACGAACCTCGTTACGGACATCGCCCTCAGCTCGGACCACAAACCTCTCAGTTCGCAAACAAAGACTTTTCAAACTCGTAGGAAAACTACCATTTCTTACCATGGGCACAAAGTGCAATTGCCGCTTCGCACCCTTGGATCACACTTTGCGCCCTTGTAATCACTTTGGGCCCACGGGCAGAAAAGTTTTTTGCGCCCTCTGGGCCCAAAGTGATTTACTGGGCGCAAAGTGTGCCCACGGACGCAAAATTGCACTTTGTGCCCTTGGTAAGAAAAACATTATACGCGACTCGGGCACCAACCTACAACAAGCGCGCCCTTCGGGCGATTATATTTGTACTTTGTGCCATAGTGACGTAATGTACCATTTCCGACCTCGGACGTTTTTGAGGGGCGGGTGTGCCCTCGGTAGGAAAAGTAGTATTCGGCGCACAAGCACCATCCAACCAGGGCTATCCTTTTGATGGCACTGTAACCCTTCTACGAAAATAGTCCATTACGATCCACCTGTAGCCTTGTATACGATCTAGTATCCGTGTGGGCAATCGTGGGCAATGCAAATGTATGAAAAAAAAAAAAAAAAAAAAATTATAAATGGAAACAAAAAGAAGTTAAGAAACGATCGCTCGTACAACAGCTCAAAAAACACGACACTACCAGTCGAGCTACTAGTGTACATTATTACCTCAAAAGAAAAACTTGACAAGGCTTATCCAACAGCTCGTCCTTGCAAATTAACGACCAAATGTAACCTTGGGTGGGATGTGAAGAAAAAGGAAAAAAAAAAAAAAAAAAGTGATGCAACGCTTCTGCGACCGTTACTTAGCGAGTGAAGATAGGTGGTGAAAACTCATGCTGATCGCGAGAGCTTGCAGCTGAATGCGAGGCTGAACGCGAGGCTGAACGTGTGCGTCCAGGCGGAAGTACTGTATATAACTATCTCTCTCTCTCTCTCTCTCGCCCTCACAGACACAGCCCAGTAAAAAGGATCGGTTTTCCCCAGGTCGCGATTCTTCTTCTCTTGACAAAATGGTAGGCACTTCAGCAAGTGACGTAGCTCCCGCTTGGTTTTCAGCATATGAGGCCAGAGTCCTGGCTAGGGAAGATGCTTTTAGGGCTGAGCTCTTAAAGAATTTGACTGGACACAATGATAGGATTGCAGCTTTAGAAACCACTGTTCATAGGCTTAACATTGCTTTGAGTGATTCGCGTGAGGTCTTACTGTTGGGCATACCCACTCAAGTCGAGCTAACAGACCTTGAGGCTGCTGATAAAGTTTTTACAGCCATGGGACTCGTAAACTACAGTAAATTTGTTCTTCGTACACGCCCATGGACCACACCTGATCGTACCGGGTCCTCTCGGCCGGCGGCTGCTGTCGCATCAAAAGGCATGGCTCTTGAGCTGAGTTCAGCTTCAGCTCGTGATATGGCCGTGCAGCATTCAATGAAGTTGAAAGACCTTTCTGCTCAGAGTATCTTCGGTATGGGTGGGCCCACCAAATTGTACTGCCGTACTCTCTGGCCTAAAGAAATTCATCAACTGCTTTCACGTGCAAGAGCTGAGCAGCACGCCCTCAAGCTGCGGCCACCATATGTCAAGAACTACACAGTTTATCTTAGATCAACTCAGGGTGCTTCGCCGGTACCTGTCCGCTCTCTTCAAGAGCTGGCAGCTTTGAACCGGGACATTACGCCTCTGTAGGGAATCTCACCCCATTTGGCGTGCTATCGGGCTTACCCCTCCCCCTCTATTGCCCCCCCCCCTGTCTCCGCTGGTACTTCCAACCTTGTTATTCTACATTCCAACGTCGAACGCCTCAAAACTCACTTTCATCTGCTAGAAGCCCTCGCAATAGATTCAGATGTTGACGTGCTTGCGGTGACGGAGACATTCCTTCTACCTACCGATGCTGACTCCATTATCGCGATACAAGGCTATAACTTTATTAGGTTGGACCGCATCAAAGAGGGTGGCGGTGGGGGTGGTGTCGGAGCTTATATTAAAAAACAATACAAGTTTGCATCGGTTGCACAATCTGACCCTCTCTTTGATAATACTCCGGAATCCATTTTGCTCTCGCTTGAGATACAGAATTATTCAATACTTTTTGCTGTGGTCTACCGGAGACCCGCGGCCTCCTTTCCGCTGCTTTTTTTCGACGTCCTCGCTGAGCATGCGCCTTCTTTTGACCAAGTGATCATAACCGGGGACTTCAATATTGATTTCTGTACTGTTACCGACGCGTCCAAATTCTTTCGTGACAGATTATCCGAGCTTGCATTGTGCCTGGTACCTTCGGAGCCCACTCATCATGTTCTATGGAGAGACCCACCGTCCCACACATGGCTTGACGTATTCGTGGTTGCTGATTCTTCGGACATAGTCTCCTATAAGAAGTCAGTTTCGCCATTTATTACGAGACATGACTGGATAAAATTGGTGCTCAAGGTTGGCGGTAGGCGGGCTACTAAGACCATTAGAATTAGGGACCTGGGGCGTGTTAATCCAACCGTGCTGTGTAGCGCTCTTGAACGTTCGCTTATCGTCCTTTGTCCCGTGGATAGCGGCGCTTGTCAGGCAGACGATATTGACACTTTTGCATCGCGGCTCTCCTTGCAAATACTCTGTGCCTTCGATGAGATCTCGCCGCTCACTGAGTTACATCTCTCCACCAAAAGGAAACCTTGGATGACGAGTGAAATAAGAAGCATGTTCCGTGATTGTGACCGAACTTATAGAAGGGCCCGCCAAATGGGGCGCCCTGAGGATGTGGCGGAATTTAGGAGGTTGCGGGCACGTGCTTCCAATGCAATCTGCACAGCCAAGAATAGGCACATTGCGCTGGTGATTGATCGTGCACCGGACGCGAGAGCAAAGTGGCGAGCATTTAGAGGGCTTGGTCTTTCATCTCAGCAGTTGCCGTCCCCGCTCGACCTGTTCAACCCCAATAAGCTCAATAATGCCTACGCTGCCCGCACCAGAGCGATCATCACCCCCGCGTCTGATAGGCCTATCATACCGGTACCTTTTCTTCCCCTGCCCCAACCTCCAGGGAGCAGATTCTCATCTAGTCATACGACTGCTATTGAGGTGCGTACTGAACTGTTGCGCTCTTCTTCTTCTGCTCTTGATCTCTATGGTTTGTCGCCCAGGATGGTTAAGCTTGCTGCTCCCGTGCTTTCTGTTACCCTTGCTAGGTTCTTCAATGCGTGTATCGATGCTTGCCATTTTCCGTTGCCTTGGAGACGTGCTCTACTTTCTCCGTTGGCCAAAATTAGAGCTCCTCTTTCGCCGGCGGACACCAGACCGATTGCCCTTCTACCAGCGCTGTCAAAGGTTTTCGAACGGATCCTCTACCTGCAAATTGTCCGGCACTTGCACAGACATGGTCTTTCGGACCCACGACAAGCTGGGTTTAGAAGCGGACACAGTACACAGACTGCTTTGCTCAGGGTCACTGACGATATAAGGATAGCCATTGATCAACGTAAGGTGACCCTGTTAGTCCTGTTTGACTTCTCGAAGGCCTTCGAACTGGTACCTCATGACAAATTGCTGCAAAAACTTCACAGATTGGGCTTTGACGATCTTGCAATTGCGCTTATTAGGTCCTATCTGTCAGGCCGGGTTCAGGCGGTCGGTGCCAAGGGTCGTGCTCTATCTGAATTTAGACCGGTTGAGGCTAATGTTCCGCAAGGGAGTGTGTTGGGACCTCTGTTGTTTGCGCTTTTTATTAATGATCTGCCACGTGTGCTCAAACACTGCTCCCACATGATTTACGCTGATGACATTCAGATTTACCTACACTGTTTTCTGGCTGACCTGGTGGGGGGTGTTGCACTGTCGTCGGAGGACGGGTCTGCGGTTGTCAACTGGTCGGTGGAGAATGGCCTTGCCCTTAATACTAAGAAGACCAAAGTGATGCTGCTGGGTAGCTAGATATATACGTCGCGGTTTGATCTGGCTGACCTTCTACGGGTTAGAATTGGCCCTGCATTTGTCCCGTATTCTGAAAGTGTCAAAAACCTTGGGATACTTATCTCCCCCACTTTGAACTAGACAGCACATGTTAATGGAGTTGTACAGCGCGTTCACTTTGCCCTTAGGTCCCTCAAATTCTATAGGCATGCATTGACCCCTCCCGTTCGTAAGCTGTTGGTTGAAAGCCTGGTGTTTCCTCACTTTGATTATGCCTGCGCGGTGTATACAGTTCTAGATGCAACAAGGAACTTAAAGCTCCAGAAAGCGCTCAATGCCTGTGTGCGCTTTGTTGTTGGTGGGCTTCCTAGAAGAGCGCACGTTACCCCGCATAGGCTCAAACTTCAATGGCTATCGGTAGCCAGAAGGCGTCAACTTTTTATGGGCCTACTTGCGTTCAAAACAATCAAACATCAATACCCTGACTACCTGTTCTCGCTTTTTTCGCTAACTGAGTATCGTCCGTTAGCCCGAGTGCATACCCGTCGAGCTTTGCCCCCCTTGCAAATACCGAACCAGCGCACACAGGCACTCAGAGATTCATTTTATGTTCAGGGGGTCGTGGGAGTGGGAGTCGTGGAGAAGGGTCTGTCTACTGATCAATAGTTATCATGTTTTTCTCTTGCCTCACGATACATCCTTTCCCGTGGGAAACTTTATATGAATATGTTAATATTTACCCCCCTCTCAAACCTGACTTTGCCTTAGCACCGCTGTTGCCGTGTGGGTACCTGTAAGCTGCTTATACGATATCTTGTGAATTCAGTATTACTTTATTTCTTATTTATTTTTACAGTTTAGTCTATATTAATCGCTTTTTTTGGACCTTACTATTGTTTAATTTGCCGAACTTGTATTTATATATTTGTTAATTTTCACCTATAGTGACTGCATCATATGTTAAGAGAGCGATTTTTTACTGCATCATGCTTTTCGTTAACACTTGTACAATCCTGATAGGCCAGATGGAGTTTTACTCTAAGGTCATAAATAAAAACCTTCAACCTTCAACCTTCTCTCTCTCTCTTTCTTTTACTTGGTACTTGGCACTATAGAGAGACTTGCGGGGGTTTGAGGTGCCCGCGTGGTAACACTGTACACCCACACTCTCACACGTGCCACACCAGCGATCTATATATAAATGCCGGCAAAACAAGCAGCGTCCTTTCTATGCTACATCTATGTTGCTCCATTTCTCTCTCGCTATACCACTGTTACTTCCCTCCGCTTACGATACCTGAATACATACGCGTGTGTGTATGCGCATCCACAGTGATATGTTTGTGTATGTGAGTGTACTGCACCCCCAAGCCTTTATTCCCCTGGCAACTCGAGGCTCTGCAGCAGTATATAGCAGCATCCCCCGCGATTTCCGACACTGACCTCTCCAATTTTCAAGCGACCCCCAGCTCAACCAACCCCCAACCGCGATGCAGCACTGCCAGAGCTCTTATATTACCTATATATACCATACGTGTAGGAGGCGGGCAGAAAAAAGGAATTGCGTTTACGTTGTAGTTTATTGCTGTTATTGTGGAAAGAGATGAGCGCCTCTGTCTTCCCATCATCCTTCTATCTCGCGATTTAGCTCCTTTTAGCGTTTGAGCCACAATTATCCTTCATCCAGGGCTGATTATCCTACTTCTCCTCAGCGCTAGAGAGCGCACGAGCAACAACATCGGAAGCTATCTGCTCATTATACCTGCTGACCTCGGGTTATCGGATATATAGACGGAGAGGTTCAATTTTGTGTTGAAAAGTTTGGAAAAAGTTGTCAAAAAACCAGTGCACAGTAGGTGCTTGGGTATCCAAATATGAAGATATACTTTTATGGAATTATATGGCAAACAATATGATTATGATTATAAATATACCTACTGTGAAACGATATTGTGTACAAAGGTGGTGCAATTATCGTTGGAATGAGTATACCTACGTTAGTTGGGTGTGGTTTCAATAAATATTTTTATATTTAATAAACGAAATCACTTTAATAAAGAATAAGCTTGCAGATTCGATTCTTGTAGAAAGTGGGTTTTTTTTTTTTTTTTTCAACCAATTTAATAAATGAATAGTAAATGAATATTTACATTAAAAGTAAGGTACCAAGCACAGCATAACAAGAAGTAAGAGCTTTTCTGTTATCAGGTTATTCGGCACATGTGCAGAAGATCGCCAGTTCGATTCTTGTAAGAAATATTTATTTTTTTTTTTTTTCAGGAGAATTTGGTAAATGATGAAGAAATAAAATTCAATAAAAACTAAAATTTTCTTTCCTCAGATATGGGCTTTGATGGAACGGTGGGGAAAGGGGGGAGAAAATGAAAATTCACTTCCGTTACATATTTTCTCAGTGTCACCAATTACAAATTTTTGGTTTACTCTAGAAGTATAACTTCAAAAATAAACGAGGCGGTTGTAGATGTTCGATTTTTAAAACTGGATAAGCTATTGTTGTTGTTTCTGTAGACGTGTCGACCCGCAAAAGCACGGTTTTCTGATAATTCTTTTAAATAATGACACTCGTTGGATTCGATTACCTCACGGCGAAACTGCGGTCGGGAACAAACGTCTAATCAAAGGGGCGAGAGTGTGGTGAGCTCGGAGTGAGGAAGGACGATGGTAGAAACAAGTAGAAACACGCATTTACCCCCGGTTGCCCTCACACACTCATTCGCGTTCAATCGAACTTAATTTCTTTAGATTAGCAAAGAATGCAAACGATCGGTAAACGAGGAGCCGATACAGTACTTGGGGCTGGTGCTTGCCCTGGCGACATGCGCCACCAGGTCCGAAAACTACTATTTTTTCATTTTATTCAAAATAAACATTGTTGGTTCAAGCTGAATGATACAATTTTATGAACTTTTTTTCTTAAATTTTACGACTTGGAATTCGTATATACTTACTCGTAAAACATATAACAGAAATAATGTAAGCACAAAAACAAACCACTCGAACTTGTCTTCTTCCCGCTCGACATAAACAAGGCTATTCCTATTTTACACTTGTTTGTGTTTGAGTTTTCATGCGAATGATTAAAACCTAATTTAATGAGATTTAGTGTTCCAAATAGAAATGAAAAAAAAAATCAACCGTAACGTACTTGTGAAAAAGAGTGGTGTTTAAATACGTTTAATGTCAGTATCCGATAACGTTTGATGCGGTTTGTGTTTTGTTGTGTAGATAAATGTACAAGTATGTTTTTACTCTTTTCATTGATAACATCGATCTTCGTCAGTGATAAGAAAAGTCGAACGATGTTCTGGTCAATCGATTATAAATCACGTGTGTTTAATGACATTGAATCTAGATAGTTTCGTTAACCTAATTAAAATGTGGCGAATGACTTCTTAAAGATTACCAAAAGCTTTGCTTGGATAAGAAGAAAAATATATTAGTTTAGGTGATAAGTTGTTTGATAACACTAATGGCTAGGGGATAACAACTTGTAGTTGGAATTTTCTTTTTTTTTCGTAATAAACCACGGCTGCACTAAATTAAGTATTCCTCACGCGCGGAGCCATTAGAATTCAGGCGAGCTTCGAAGAGCTCTGCTTTTTCGGTGTCACAATTTTGAATGAGTGAAGAAAAATTGTTTTCCTCAGTTATTCGATATTGCTTGAGCATGGACTTTCTTCATTTTCTTCTTCTCAGTTCACGCGTTACGTCACACCCAACGTGCGTGCGTGTGTATACAGTGTTTGGTTTTTCAGCTTTTGTAGATTGATTGTTATCGGGGATAAATACTATAGTTATAAAACTATTTTTCGTTTAATAGTATTGGTGTTTTAGTAAGAAGTTTGTGTGTTGTATCGATTTTGTATCTATAAACTTTCCGTTGTTAATTATCCGGTCATTACCTACTGATATGATAATCGAGAAAATATTAAAGGTACAACTAACGTATTGATATGATTACCCGTTAATTTGGGAACTATGTAACCTGTATTAAAAAAGGTTTGACCTTTTATTTTTTAAATTCGTCGTTACTAACGTGCACTCATATTTTTGTCATATAATTTCTTGAATAATAGTCACATCAGTATTTAAATTAATTTGAATCAAATACATATATCGTTACGTCTGTTATTTAGTTTGTTTTTGTATTTAAATATTTCAAAATCATTCATTCTGAACTATTTACGTGATTAAATCGAAATTATTAGAATTTAAAGTACACATTTCAGGCTTCGTCACGTAAAGATTTATCAATCTTTTAAAAAATAAATATAGTTTTATTAATTTAGAATTTAATGCGATTCACTAAGCTTTATATATGCTTAATCTAATCCTACAGTGATCCAAGCTTCAGTAAAAAATTATATTTTTTGAAAACTGTAGCCCAAAACACAAAAGACATCAATTACCAAACCATAAGCACACATATATATATATATATATAGGTGGTGTATACACATACAAAATCGAATAACCAGAAATAAACTTAACCAACAGAGTCTACACACAATACTTTTACCATTGATACGGTTTACCGATGACGTGGCTCGACTATAAAAAAAAAATAAATAAATAAAAAAAGTGATCCAAATGGAGAGTCGATCCGCTACGCGAATTCTCGAGTGAACCACATTAATTATCATGCCTATAAAAATTTGCCAAGAAGAGAAAAGAGAGCATCTTGAAGTGATTTTTGATTTACGCTTCATTCACACATTTATTCAGGATTAATTTAGTACAGATCACCTGGATCCGAATTTCAATAAAGACACGCGCGAGAAGTATGTATAGGTACTTTTTCCCGCTCGCGTTTCTACGCCCGCATAGCAGCAACAGTGTAACGCACAGAGTATAAGTAGTTCTCTCTTCGCGTGTGTCTACTGCATGTTTACAATTCGGCACCAGCACCATCAGTATGATATACCTATACGCGGTAGTAAGTATGAGGTACCTTATACAGAGAAAGAGAGAATTCGAGTAGTATATACTATATACACCGG